CCCAGTTTGGCCCAAGTAGAAACAGCGCGCAGTGACATTGCCGCAGTTGGGAACTTCGTACCCATTCGTTCGTCCCACCAATAACGAGGTACAAAAGCCTAGCCCGAAGGAAGGTACGCGCAGGCGCCAACGTTCTTGGCACCGACCAGGGCCAAGACGAGAAAAGTTCGGATACTGACGCAGATTTATCAGCTCGACCGCTACAGCCTCCGGTTCTAATGCGGAGAACATGCGGAGGAATGAATTAAGATGAACGCTCGAGTGAAACTTTGTGTGCTTTCCAATATTAAGTCTTGTTCCATGCTTACCTTTTTTATTTATTTATTTTTCTTTTCTGTTTTTTTCTTTCGAAGCAATATCTGGCAGGAAATTAGATTACCAATTTATGAGAATTGAAACATTTTTCAATTTCACGGTGAATTGAATCGTAATGTACAAAGGGAAGATTATTGAATTAGTTATACCTTGATGGTACGTTGTGCTGAAGTTCGTGTTGCTTCCAAGTCTTTGAGATGTTAATGAATTCCAGAGCATCGAGGCTCTTGCCAAAGTAATGAATAATGTTTTCACGACGGATCCCTAAGTTCATGCTACCGTACGATTAATGCATTCCGGAAGACTGACAACTTTACGAGCAATCGAAAGTATCCGGTGCTTATTCTCGCACAGTGGAAATTGATTGCACGCCAAACAATGAATTCTGACGTTAAAACGTATGATAATGAACCCTATTGTCTCAGCGTGATATACAGTTGTAATTGGTGCACCGAAGATTTGTCAAACAGAATAAGCGACGACGTACTACAATCTTATCGATTACAGCTACACTTGTGTTCGATAATTCAATTTAAGCAGATAAACGTAATTTCTAATCTAACATATTCCACTAGAATATTTCATATTGTCTATCGAATAATTTATTTAACTTTGATTGTTTACAAACTAGAAAATTCTAGTGTTTATAAATATTGACATATGAACGTCACTAGGCCGCGCCATGTGCACTATACTACCAGTAACGAACGAAGCAATGGAATTAGCAACGTTTCTGAATGAATTCTGACCTTTTTTCCTGAAGAGAGGCCGGTATTGTTTAAGGCCGATTTCGGCCAGCCACTGATCTGCTTCGGTGACATCCCCGTTGTTTCCATTTCCGGTGGCAAGCATCAGAAGTTTGCCAAGGGACAGGACCATTGTAAGGGCCAGGAATACTCCCGACAATACAGTCGACCATCGTGCCATTTCCTGACCGGTGCGTCTTTAAAACGAACGGTCACAAACTGTATTGACATAGTCGCGTGTATACACATGCATGCAGTTAACAGGTTAAGTGTCAATTGGAGGTTATGTCACCACGGTGTTTGTAAACAAATCCGTGTCGGGGAATGTAACTAGCGGTACGTTACGTTAAATGGCTTACCACATTTTCGTAGAACTGATCATCGGATCGCGATACGATTGACAAAACCGTGGTTTCAAAATTTTATGGAGTAAGAACGTGTATAGTCGGCCAGAATGAGGATTACTGTAGATGGAGTGACAGGTGGAAGGCACTATAGTTTCCTAGGGACTTCGCGCGCCGGTCTTTCTCCTAATGGACAGACTGAAAATCAATTTTAAAGTGCTGCTTCCTTAACATTCGTCGATATTAAATAAAAAAAAAAGCAGAAAAACTTCGTAACTAATTTACTTGTAGCATTCCTTAGTTCGTAATTTATTCTTGAAAATTTTATTTTAAAATACGCTTCATTTCAACGAAGTTTCTCTACAATGCACATAGATATCTAACTTATCGTTTGTTGGAAACTACGACTATTGCAACTTGCGAACTTCAACGAAAATGAAATTTATATTTCATGCGAATATAACCAGTACATTACTTAATTTCTATTCGATACATACGTAACATTGATTTTACGTTTAAAACATTCAAACTTTGCGTCTATGAAAAAACCAAATAATTCGAAATTAAAAATGTATGGCAAATTTCTTGTAAACCGTTATAGGAACGCGACTGAAGTAATGTCTCTGTAAAGAGAAAGAGAATGCAACCGAAATTCGCGGTACTTGAACAAGGAATACCAAGAAGCCGTAAATTGGTTGGCAATAAATAATGAGTAAGTCTTGTTCTGTAATCCGGACCGGCAAAAGAGGCTGCGTTAACGGTCCACGGAAGGGACTGCAGTCGGCATACAGACACTGTGTCCTCGACATTTTGATCGTTACCACAGCATGTCGAATGCGACCGAGTTCTTCGCGGTCTCGATGTAAAAGTTCATATATCGAACGGTTAGGGCAAGAACTGACTTCAGAGTGTCGGCCTGCATTCAACCGTCCGATAACTATAGTCGATCAGAAGGAGAAACGCTATATTTCATGCATTTTACTATCAGTTTATCACGCCGTTACTTTCATAATATTAAGCAAAAATACGAAATTCGATGTTATAGCTACGGGTAACATAATATAGTAAACTTGTTTGACAAGTATTTCAACGAGGGCTATGTGTCGTTAATCGTTTTTTATGGCCAGTAGTAACGACTTAATGCACACTTCTACCGAGGTATTATATTCCTTAGTCTGGTTGATGTTAATTTATAACGGCAATAAACGAAAAAGAAAGGTTATTTACCTGTTGGGCAGGGCTATTTGAATTTGGCGCGGGTTATTATTGGAAATAGACTAAAGCATGTTATTGCGTAGTAAGCGATTCATCAGGAATGTGACAGATACCTAAACGATGTATTTTCTTATCGAGCAGCAATTATGTAATTCAATTTCACGCACCGATACGTACCTAATATATATACGCGCGACAAGTTTTGATAAGTATTTAATTTTGTCACGGTAGATAAAGAATTGTAGACGCGCGGTCGCTTATTAACTGTATCCGATTACGGGCGCTACTACATACATGTGCGTTTTAGACATCGGTGAGCTATATACCTGATTACAGAAGTATCTATCAACTTTCCAACTCGTAATCCACTGCACGAACACTGACGATACATAATACAATTCGTGTAAAATTAGAGGTATTTTCACTTTGTACAATAAAAGAACCCCCGACATTGGTTACATCAATGAAGCGACAAATATGATATGATAGAAATGGATCGTGACTTGACTGGCAATTTGTTCCATACGTGACACATTCCTTTAAAGATTTCTTGCACAAGAACTACACAGATGTCAGATCTCCTTGTTAACTTCGAGTTGACACACTAGTTTCACGTCGAAGGTGTCAATTGCATTATGCGCGCTTATCCGCACGGTTACTGCGAACAAATTGAATCAACAGGTCCCGAGGAAAATACAGGTTAGAGAAAACGTCCGTCCCATAGGCGCCAAGGCAGTAGTCAATCTTGATCTCTCTTTTATTTATGCAGCGATGAATAAACGAGTGATGTAGGTGATAATGACGCATGAAATACAAGAGTGATACTCTTGTCTGCTACTAGGTAGATCACCATGCCGAGAGGTGAGAGGTCTCGATAGTAATTTAGCGAATGGCCGACCAGCGGCGCTGTCTTGGTGCAAGCGCGCCGTTTTGCCTTGTCCAGTTGCATACTTTATGAGTTCCCCTGTATGGTCATGAACATGGGACACCATACCACACCGCTATACTTTGCTTTGACAGCGGCGAAATGTTTATTTAATACATGGAAATTCCCGATTCCCAGGTTCGCAACGTACTATACACGGCCGTTTCAGTCTCGTTGGCCCGGCCCACAAATCCTTTCATTTTTTTTCGTGCTCACCACGATGCTCGTACGTTCTCGACCGCGTAAACATTTTTCCCATCGAACAGAATACGCATGAAGTATTATATATTCTCCCATGGTGTTTCTACGCAATTACTGTCATCACATATGGCCAGCCATGCTATTCTCTGTAGAAGAGACTATGATTTTTACGCGTGTGGTGTTTTTTTTTAGAACACGTGAAGTGCCGTATAGTTAGTTCTATTTTTCATTTAATCGTCTATGACCATAGATGGTGTGCATGCGCCCATGAAGTGTATTCAGATTGATACTGTGATAAGATTACTGTTGTAAGTAGGGAAGGAATTTTTTTTTATTGCTTTTAACGTGAGGTGCAGTCTTTGGCACCTAACAGAACCTGTATTACAACCACCATGGTTGTTAAGAGGGCCGTCACCAAACCAAACAGCGTGTCGATTGAACCTCGTTTCACTAGCAACTTTTTTCTTCTTCGGTTGAATGAATGCAGTGTTGATTTTTTCATTCTATTCGATGTAAACGAATGAAATACATCCGAATTGAACGGTGAAGTAGGCGCGGTACTCTCTTTTAAGACGTATCGATCGATAAACGAATATCATGATCGTTCAATTATTGCGTCGTGTCGAATGTTTCCGTGGTTTTTGAACCGTTCACTTCGAAACAACATAACTCGAACGTTTCCTTTTGAAACGAGTGTCGTTACGTTCATTATACTTTTCCAAACGTAATACAAGGGTCATTCGAGGTTATGTCAACGTCATTCTTGTGACATTTAGGTCATTTAAGGTTATGTCAATGTCACTTAGGATAATTGGGGTATCTCTGGGATAAATGCAACGTAATAGATATTCTTGTATTGTTTCAGCAATAGCATACTGAACATAATAGTGATCATTTCAGACAAAATTATTGAATTTCAGCGATGCTATTTATGTTCTCTCAACGTGAATGGTTCAAAACCACAGGATCTTTCCGGATAAACCAATATTAATAGTCTCCCGCCAATCGGTCGAACTGCAATACCTATATCATGGTTTAACGGTGCAAGAATCGTAAACCGAGGGTATAATGATATTACTGCGCATGTCTTGTACTGGTCGCGTGACACTACTTGAAAGACCATAAAATTTAACCTAAATTCTTCGCAGAAATAAAACTACTGCGAATATTCTGTTTAGCAGACGAAAAAAAATCTGCTCTGAATGTTTGCCGACTATGTGTGAGTAAGTCGTCGATAATTGGCGCGATTAGATTTACCATACATGTCTCACGTGTCACCGTAAGCGTTGCGCTGTCCGATAGATTACAAACGTGTTTAATTATCATTTAACGTCTCCACGTTTAGACGTGATTTGACGAGGGTAATGAATGCTAAACACGGCGTGGCAAGCTTATTAATTAATCGCCATAACGGTGTACAGGTCGGTTGGGATAATGTTACGATAAATTACGATGTCGTGTCCAAACTGATATCACAGGTGCTCGAGTGGAGGAACGGAATAAAGTGGATCACCTTCGTGAGGCTGATCTAACTCGTTCGTGGCGTCAAATTATCCTGTTGTCGGATCGGTATTAAGATTCGTACGACTCTTTGATCTTCCGAGGATTATCGAACCATGTCGAAAGGAAATACACTGGAAAATGTAGGCATTAAATCGAAACACGAATCGTTTATGCAATTACAGAACAATGCATGTACGCCGCAAGATCCTACGTACACACACTAACACAATATAACCTATTCGTTGCCATAATAGCTACAAGGCTTTATTTTCATTTTTTAAGGTAATATTTTTTACTTAAATTTATATTTTTTTTAATTTAAAATTCAATCGAATTTAATATTTCATACGTCTAATTGTAAGTGAACACTTGATTACGTCACAATGTTGCCAACTGCGTAGCAATTGAAAAATTCATCAAACATCTTCGAAACGTTAAAACATTTTTACGTGTATTCTTTTTTATAATTATTAAATAATTTGCGAATGAAAGGGTTAATCTGCTGTTCGTATTAACAGTTTAGGTATATACGGTTGATACACCAGACACCCCTGAAGTTGACTGCGAAACTTGAGTAAAAGAGGGTCGAACGCAATTGATTGCAAAATTGGATTGCGAACAAAAGGCGCGTGTTTGTGTTCGATCTACAACAGAGACGTCGTGTAAGAAAGTTATGAACGCGGCTTGTACTAAGGAGCGTTTATAGAGGGAGGTAATGAATCCATTCAAATTCAATTCGCTCAAAGGGTGTTCTTGCTCGGCCGACGTGTACACGTCATTCCGATGTACCGTATAGAGCCGCTTATCAATCTCCCTAGATTTTTCGTTATTCACAAAGAAAACTTGTTGCTTGTTACTATTTTCATTTACATACGCAGTGAGCCGAGCAAGCACATACAATTAGATACATAATCATAAATCGTAAACGAAATAAGCGTTTTATGTTGTTCTTGTGTTATTTTTGGCTTGCTTTCACGATGATTTTAGGATATTCACCGCAGGGACACGATCAAAGAACCTTAGCAGAGACATTGCTCGGGCAAGTGAACCGTGACAGAGGCAGAGTTTCGTAATGATATCGAGACGACACACGGCAACGAGGTCGTTGCTCGATTCGTGTTTGCTCGTTTTAAGGCCGTCGTGAAACACATGCAAAAACATGCGAATCGTTACACGTAGACGGTCACCTGGCCCGGTTGATCGAGAAACCAGAGTGAGAATACATGATTCCCGTAATCGAAGCTGTAGCCTGGGCCTATACAAGACCACGTCACCGATACAAAAAGGTATACAAATAAACTTTTACAGACGTTTTCTTCAGTCGGTTAAACGCTTTTATTCAAACAATGTCTGGAAACTCTAGGGTACAGTTATGAGTGTCTTAGGCGAGGTAACCACGTTAAACCGAACAAGTGGGTTAATGGTGAAGTACACGAGAGAAGAGAAGAGAAGAGGAGAGATGAGAAGGGAGGAGGAGGAGGAGAGAATAGAGAAGAGAGAAGAGACACGATACATATGTATACACGTGCGCGTTTTACAATCCAACAGATAGATACTCTGACAGTTGATGTTGATGAACGATCCCTCTTGGCCTTCGACGGACACAGAAGCTACATCGACGTTAGAGGTTGGCGGTGTGCTGCAGCTGCACCTGCACCACTGCACAGTGAGCGGTATACATTCGGCCTCTCTTCCCTCGGGCCACTGCCACACTTTCGTGTGTAACAACCGGTGTACTCGGTTTTTTAGTCCTCCTTTAGGAACATTAGACGCCCGAAACTGGAGCACCGAGAGCGATTTCGTCGAATCTAGGAAAGTGTACATTGGGGCGAATAAAATCCTTTTTATACAACTAACCGAGAGATCTTGATTCGCGATATGGAATGAAGTATAGTTAGATTTTTGATCGTGTACACAACACACTATCCGTCGTTACGGTGCAGCGTCGAAACGTTTCACAGCGAAGTTTTCGAGAGCGTTATTGTCTAGAAATTAAATTGAAATTCGACCAACACCGATGAGAAAGTTCACCGAGCAATTTCGTTCCTCTACTCGGATGCTTAATTACGTTTTTATACCTGAATCGCGTGTTACCCGCGAAATCTGCGGATAATTAGTCACTACGGACGCGGGACACGATAGAGGAGGCGAGCTTAAAATGTTTCGCTGCGCGGCGCGTATGTAATTCCCCTCTCGGTTTGCACGTGAAATTACCGGTTAGAATGTAAGTAGGAAAGGAGATTAATGTCGCTGTCGGTAACAAGAAAATTCCCCATGATCGTTCGATTAGAAAGTGCACCCGCTAAAATGTAAATGAACGACTACGTCCCGGGTATGGCGTCTTCATCGGGGAGTAGCCGAGAATATTCCACACTTTTAATCGTCTAACTTTCTCAATCAGGTTCCATCGTTGAATTTCCAGTCATTTCCTTTGATCCAGTCTCGGGTTCCTCTTCGACTGGTCCTTTTCTGAAAAGGAAAACTATCTTTCCTGTTCACTGTATGAAATAACACTTCTAAGGTAATAAAACCAGGTATTTACGGTAGCTCTAGTTATTCTAGATCGCAGAACTTGATTCCTAAACGAATACAGAAAGACACTTGTTTCTTTGCTAGTGGTAATCAAGGATGGATTAGGATGGTAGAACAGGACATCCCTTCAGAATCGGGAGAGACCGGACCAAATGTGGCCGGAGACCATTTCCTGGAGATGAAGAAGAAGAAGAGGAGGAGGAGGTCGAAGAAGAAGAATAAGATATCTTCTGGTGGAGGAGGAAGAGTTGGCCTAGAAACGGTGGTTCTCCGATCTCCGATCTGTTGCTGGGTTTTCAGGCTTCGTTCCCTCGTTCCACCTCGTCCAGCTACACAACCCCTCCCCCGTTTGACTGGCCGTCGACGACGATGATGGTAATGGTAAATGGCCCATGGAGAGGCTCTCCAGTCCGCGCCTCCACTGGAAACGGGAGCACGCCACGTGAAAGTAGGAAGGGGAGGCTATAGCCGGACTGACGTCGCTTCGTGCGCCTCAGTCGTTCGTGGACCTCGAAGGACGATAGAGGTCGAAGAGGGCACTTCCTCCTCTCCTTCCTCAACGGCGCCACCACCATCCTTCTTCTCCGATCATCTTCCTTCGCGCCTTATCCTCTTTAACCGGTGGCGAGAACAGCCAGCCAATCTTCATACACACAATAAGATAATCGTTTGTTCGAGACGTCCGCCTACTGCGACTACGAGAAAGTTGACTTATAACGACGTCGTTGACACACGATCGTGGCACAACGTCCGAACGGATCGTCGACAGTTAGGAAGGATGCATCGTCACATCTCACTCCTCGTTGGGATCATCCTGCTGTGCTGCCTTCAAGGTCGGTATCGCTTTTAAACCTCTACAACTGTAGAATCGACGGGTAAAGTTGCTCCACACGTCCGGTGAAAGTCTCTGCAACAGGTCGGACTCACCCGTCTTTTCTTTCACGCATCCCTGTTCTTTTTTTCTTTTTCTTTCTTCCACCTCTCCCTTTTTCCTATCTCGTTACTTTTTCTTTGTTTTTCTCTTTCTTTTTTCAAACCTGTGCCACATAGATTACGGTATTTCGGTCGCAGAGAGATTGATCGATAATTCGTTCCCGTCTACTGCAACCAGCCCGAACAGTTTCACGGTTGGCTAATTGAGAAATAAATGAACTCCACGCGATGCACGAATAGACGGGTCCATTCATTATTCCGCGTAAAAGCAGTCAGCCGTCCGATGGAGAGTAAAAGCACACGGCCAACGGATTCCACGTCAGGGATGCGTAATGGTGATCGATATTGCGTTAAAGTAGAGATTCGTCCTAGCGGCATATTAATGTCCAAGAGAAATACCACCACTCGTTAATTTATATCCACCGTGGTAAAATCAACCTCTCACGTTCACCAGTTTCTGTCAGCAGTACTCGGTGGTAGTTAAAATCATCGTCGTTCCTTGGCATTCGATAAATTTCATCTCACCCGACGATCAGAGAAATACGTACGTATATACGTAACGTGTACAAACGAGCCATCGAATGCAGTACGAATCGCAATTGGTCGAACGTTTGTCGCAGAATTGATCCTCGTCGAAGTGGGTCAGTCAACGAGCTGCAAAGTTCAAAGAGCCAGCATAGAGCGTCGCTGGACTAAAAAAAAGAAAAAAAACATCTAATCTTTCCTTTTTCTCTCTCACAACGAAGAAAGCAAAGCTCCTTCCGGAGCGATACCGATGTTCCTGTATCGACGTCCAGCCTGTCCCTTCGTTCTTTTTTTCTCTTTTTCTCGGCAAATGGCTTTGGTCAGAGCACCCATTGAATTCTCGACAGGGGGGCCGGTATCTCTCCATGGCCAAGTGCGATGCTCTTTCAACTAAGGGGGGAAGAGAGAGAGAGAAAAAGGAGAGAGGGCCAATGGTTTTTCGTTTTAATCTCCTGCACGCTGGTAGCATCGTGCACGAGAGTCGACTCACGGGGGCGAGTTCCTTCCTCTTTCTCTCTCTCTGTACGCAAAGCTCTGTTGGTCCTCTCGAGCCCGTACAGCGTGGCGTCACTCGATGTTTTATATTTCCATCCATTTATGGGACCCCACGTGTGTGTACACACACACATATATCTACCTCGAGTATCTTTTAATTAATTCACTAATAGAAAATTCATTATCTCCCGTAATAAAGATATTATTACGGGTATTCCCACGGGAGTTTCCTCCGCGAAATATCTCGCATTCTCCCAGTCTCTAAACTCACTCTAAACGATCCCGCTTAATGCATTTTATATGCAGTATTTATTACTCTTCCGTGTACACGTACATATGATAAGTACTAGTTAGCATTAGGAATAGGCTAATTTTATTAGACGTATCTTATGGTTAATCTACCGCAAGTACATAAAGGGCCTCTCTCGGTCGAGTGTTCGACCAGGCACGTATAACTCGTGAAACGACAAGTTAGCCTACGGCCTCGACTCATTCGCCTAATTAAGTATGCTAATCGTCTTAAAAAAAAAAAAAAAAAAAAAAAAAAAAAAACCCCCGGGGGGGGG